GGTCAGAGACACCTGTCGGTGGGTCAGAGACACCTGTCGGTGGGTCACAGACACCTGTCTGTGACCCACCGACCCGTCTGTGGGTCACAGACAGGTGTCTGTGACCCACAGACGGGTGTCTCTGACCCACTTTCATTTTCCTTTCTAAGTAAACCAAACAAGTATGTAAATATCTTCATATGGTACATAGAGTGTACTTATGAAGAACCTGCACCACAGACACCTGTCTGTGGGTCACAGACACCTGTCTGTGGGTCAGAGACACTTGTCAGTGGGTCAGAGACACCTGTCTGTGTGTCAGAGACACCTGTCTGTGTGTCAGAGACACCTGTGTTTGTGTCAGAGACACCTGTCTGTGTGTCAGAGACACCTGTCGGTGTGTCAGAGACACCTGTCGGTGGGTCAGAGACACCTGTCGGTGGGTCAGAGACACCTGTCGGTGGGTCAGAGACACCTGTCGGTGGGTCACAGACACCTGTCGGTGGGTCACAGACACCTGTCGGTGGGTCACAGACACCTGTCGGTGGGTCACAGACACCTGTCTGTGGTGCAGGTTCTTCATAAGTACACTCTATGTACCATATGAAGATATTTACATACTTGTTTGGTTTACTTAGAAAGGAAAATGAAAGTRGGAATAAATTTATAAAATTTGATATTTGATCTTTTTATTGATTTTGACTGTATTTTGTATATTTCTCTCCAAACCTGCTCCAGTTTATGAACTAAACACTTGTTTAGTTCTGTTYTCCTCTAGTGTAAATAAACAAATTCCTGTGAAAGTAGATGAAATGTCAAACTGCCCATCCACAGAGGGTAATTTACCTGGAAGTGATCCAGCATCTGCTTCCATGACAACACTAAAAGAGCCTCTTTACGATTCTTTTTGGGAATTTCTGAGTAGAGTATGGAGTTCTCTCTGCTTCCATAGGGCATTCCTGGTTAGAAAAAAAGAAAAGTAAAGTAAAGTAGAGACTGACTGAAAAACACTGAGCGTTACATCAGGAGAGAAACATTTTATTCAAGATGGCAGCCAAACATAGAAAGCAGACACTAAGGGTCTTTCAGTGGCTTCTCCCTCGTCCTATCCTCTACACACTACACTCACTGTGAAGCCCCCTGAGTAGGGAGAGGGCGAGGGAGGAGCCACTGATTGGGAAACATATGAGTGTTAACTAATGCAGTACTAGCATTGTTATATGACAGCTCATTCTGAGACTGATGCGTGTTTGATTATTTGTTGTTTATTTATTTAATAAAAGATAGTGCATACTACAGAAAATGCTAGAATTAGCCATGGAGGSTAGTTTTCATCTATAGTCCCTTRTTGGTGAGTGTTCTGTCCTCCTCCAAGCATTCAGAAAAAACACCAAGGCAGAAAGGTGAGTAACATGAGCCCACCTCTGATGGCCCCCTGAGCCGTGAGCAGAGGTGGTATCAGAGCTGGGACAGAGCCCAGCAGACCCACTTGTGAAAAAGTAACCTGTGGTTCCACGCTCAGAATAANGCAGGTGGACAGGTGCAGCTGCTGCAGGTGGACAGGTGCAGCTGCAGCAGGTGGACAGGTGCAGCTGCTGCAGGTGGACAGGTGCAGCTGCTGCAGGTGGACAGGTGCAGCTGCTGCAGGTGGACAGGTGCAGCTGCAGCAGGTGGACAGGTGCAGCTGCTGCAGGTGGACAGGTGCAGCTGCAGCAGGTGGACAGGTGCAGCTGCTGCAGTCAAACTGCCTCTCAGCCCTCGCTTTAAAACCAGTCAGCTGATCTGTTGTGGGTTTTTTTGTGCTCGTGAACACATGGTGTTACGGTGGAAATGCTGTGAGGTGCTTTTAGAAATATAATATATATAAAATACGACGTAATCCTCGGTGGAAAATAGTCCAGGAAATGCTGAGGGCTTTCCTGGGAGGTGTTCACCTGAGCTGAGGGAAACTGACCCCCCACCCACAGAGAAATGAAAAAAGGCAGTGTGTACCCGCCCTGCTCTGTTCTGATTGGGTAAAACTTTGACTGTGGTTCTCTTTATTGGGTGAAAAAGCTGTCAGTTTTATCCCTAGACACCTTTAACAAGTTTTTCCTCCCGTTAATTTTTACAATGAACACCGACGGAGGAAAACTTAGGTCTTTTTTTCTTGGCTGTCCACTGGACAACCAGGAGGCAGGATCTGCCTGTCCGAAACAAAAATAGTTGTCTCGGACCTGAACAATGGTTGTGTCAGCCCCTGTTTTATGTTAATAAATAAAATAAAATAAAATAAAAAAATACTTCATTCCAAAGGTGTGGAGGCTTTCATGTAGCCGTGGCGGTACGCCATGATCAATGACATGTAGGGGAAACCCTGGTCCATCTACAGAAACATGAGACCTGTACGACAGAGGAACTGAACTCCTCTTTAGGAAAAAAGGACGATGGAGTTTGTAAACAGGTAATAACAAGTTTAGGTCCATAAAATATATTTTATTTAGTCGTCAGTTCATTATGTCCGAATTGATGCTGCTGGTAAATGTATGTGGTACAGCTGCAGCTGAGAAAACTGGTTAAATATGTCGCTTCAGTAACACCTGTCTGTGTGTCAGAGACACCTGTCTGTGTGTCAGAGACACCTGTCTGTGTGTCAGAGACCTGTCTGTGTGTCAGAGACACCTGTCTGTGTGTCAGAGACACCTGTCTGTGGGTCAGAGACACCTGTCTGTGTGTCAGAGACACCAGTCTGTGGGTCAGAGACACCTGTCTGTGTGTCAGAGACACCAGTCTGTGGGTCAGAGACACCTGTCTGTGTGTCAGAGACACCTGTCTGTGTGTCAGAGACCTGTCTGTGTGTCAGAGACCTGTCTGTGTGTCAGAGACACCAGTCTGTGGGTCAGAGACACCAGTCTGTGGGTCAGAGACACCTGTCTGTGGGTCAGAGACCTGTCTGTGTGTCAGAGACACCTGTCTGTGTGTCAGAGACACCTGTCTGTGTGTCAGAGACAC